GGTAAAAGCACATATGCTAATTACAAGATGTCAATGATGACCGTCAAGTTGAGTAAAACACTAGATGGTAAAATAAAGAGTTATGGATAAAGGGTTATGGTGTTAAAAATATGGATTAACGCAATCTAGTAATTCATTTTGTATATGAGATATACACAATACTTTGAAAATACCTTAGGTATGTAAGGTACTAAAATTATGTTGATGATTTTGAGGATTAGAGTACAAACTTCCTCAAAAAAAAGGTAAGTGTTGAAACAAATTTATGGAAAGTTGAAAAGCTTGACTAATCAATAAATGACTAAAATGTACCTACATGATATATGATAAGGTAGATACCTTGTGATCAAGGAGTGAGAAGTTTGTACAAAAGAGATGATTTTGAACAACTACCTTGGACCGGTGAGTCGTGTCCCAATAAGAGAGCAAAATGTGATGTAAAAGCTCAATACATGACTTAGTGTATGGCAAGGCCATGGATATATTATAGAAATGTATAATGTGAATCTTGGATATGGGTTTAATATCAAAGAAAATGAGGAAAGGATTTAGTAGTCACGAACCCTTCAGAAAGGTGTTTGTGATAAGACCATGAGTATAAAGCTTACGTAGTCCAACTTAAAGGAAAGGACACCTAAGCTAATCTAGTGCTACTATACATGCTAGACTTTGATGTGATACTGGGGATGGATTGAATATCTCCCCATTATGCAAGTGTTGAAATTCACTACAAAAGGGGTAATATTTTAGTACCTTAGGGAGACATCGTTCTTCATTCAAAGAGATCACAGCACAACCTTGAATAGTATGGTATTGAGCATGTTTGCTAGTGGATTCATGAGGCATGGATGCCAAGGATTTTTTTACAATAGTTTTGGACATCCAAGTGGATGTGGGTAATGTGGCAAATGTGCCAATTGTGGGAAAGTATGTTGATGAGTTTCTGAAAGAGTTATCTATATTACCTTTAGAGAGGGAAATAGGGTTTTGTATTGACTTGGTGTAGGACACTAATCCAATATCTATCCCACCATACTAGATGCCATCAGAAAAGGTCAAGGACTAGTAAAAGGATTTACTAGACAAAGGTGTCATACACCCTTATGTCTCACCATAGGGTACACCGGTATTTTTGTGAAGAAGAAAGATGGATTGCTAAGACTTCGTATTGACAACTGTTGGCTCCATTAGTTTTTGATGATAATAAAACATTTCCATTCATTTACGTCTAACTTTTCTACTTGAGTGTGTATGACAAAAATGTATGTTAAATAATTAGTTAATCAT